ATATAGGAATGATCAAAGTAGGAATGATCAAAGTACCTGACATAGCAACAATGATCTGTCTGACATCTGCTGTATCCAGCATTTTGCATGAAATTATCAAACTTCTTGTACTATTGTCTAAGAGCTTGCTTCAGACCATACAAGCTCTTTTTCAATCTACAAACTGAATCTTTTTTTCCTTATACTACGAACCCTTCAGGCTGGTGCATATAGATGTCTTCTTCAAGGTCTCCATGAAGAAAAGCTGTCTTCACATCTAATTGCTCCAGGAATAGATCTTCAGTAGCAACCATAGCCAGGACCATCCTGATGGTTGTGAGTTTTACCACAGGAGAAAAGATCTCAGAGTAATCAATAACTTGCTTCTGTTGAAAGCCTTTTGCAACAAGTCTGACCTTGTACCTTTTACTGCCATCAGACTCAGTTTTTACCCGGTACACCCACTTGCTGTGCAATGTCTTCTTCCTTCGGGGAAGTTCTGTTAGATCTCATGTCTGATTTCTCAGCAGGGAATTCATCTCCTTCTTCACGGTCAGCTCTCACTTGCTAGAATTTTCATCTGCTAAGGTTTCTTCATAGCTTTGTGGTTCTTCATTATCTGTCAACAATATGTAATTTAAAGTTGGTGAGTAACGCTGCGGCGAATGCCTGCTTCTAATTGACTTCCGAACGACGACTGGAGTAGTGAATGACTCTGGACCTGTCTGCGGAATAATAGGAAAGGGTGCCCCGAACCCATTCTTCTCCTCATTCCCATCTTCGTCCTGCTTTGTGTCCTCTGGTAGATCGTCGAACTCCACGAACTCTGACTCCTGAGGAGCTACTCCAGAATTTGTATTGGCCTTGCCCTTGTACATTATCTTCTCATTGAAAATCATATTTCTGCTTCTGATAATCTTCCGATTCTGATCATCCCAGAAACGATATCAAAATGTTTAATGATATCAAAATGTTTCGTCTCCATAACCAATGAAATAACATTTCTTTGACTTAGCATCAAGTTTGCTACGTACATCAGGATTGATTAGCACATAAGAAAGACAACCAAAAGTTTTAAGATAAAAAAATTTAACTTCTTTACCGCTTCAGACCTCAGGTAATTTATAGTCTAATGGGATAGATGACCCTCTGTTGATCAGGTAAACTACAGTGTTGACCGCATCTGCCCAGAAGGTTGGTGGTAGTCCTGCGTGCAATCTCATGCTTCTAGCACGCTCATTGATGGTCCTGTTCATGCGTTCTGCAACTCGATTTTGTTGTGGTGTCACTGGAACGGTCTTCTCCATTTTGATACCTTGAACTGCACAGTACTCCTTGAATCTACCATCAATGTACTCACCACCATTGTCAGATCTTAAACATTTCAGTTTTAGATCTGTCTTCATTTCAACTATGGCCTTCCAAGTTTTGAACACAAAAAATACATCAAATTTATGCTTTAGAAAGTAAACTCATACCTTTATGCTGTGGTCATCTATGAATGTGACATAATAGCGAGAGCCTCCAAGAGATGCCACTGGGGAAGACCCCCACACATTGGTGTGTACCAGTTCTAGTTTTCCTGCCTTTGGCACCCTGTCACCTTTCAGGAAACCGACCTTCTTCTGCTTCCCCATGATGCAACTTTCACACATGCCGAAATCAACGGACTTCAGTTCTGGTAGACTGAAGTTCTTTCATAGTTCTTTCATAGCTCTCTGACTCATGTGTCCAAGTCTGCAATGTCACATGTCTGTTGTGTTCTCTGCAACTGTGGTATCAACATTGTTAATTAGACCAGTTGTCATATATAGCGTACCAGACTTCTTACACCGAGCCAGTACCAGTGCTCCTTTAGTAACCTTCCAAGTGTTATCAGAGAACACTACTGAATGACCTTCCTCATCAAGCTGAAGTTGTGCTGTCCAACAGATATGAGGTTCTTTTTCAGTTCAGGAATGAGTCTAACCTTTTGCAGGATCCATTTGTTTCTGTTAGGGAGTACAATTTCAACATCTCCCATCCCCACCACGTTCAAAGCTGCTCCATCAGCTATGTACACTTTCCCAAAGTCACCTGAAACATAGTTTCTCATTAACTCCCGGTGAGAAGATGTGTGAAAAGAAGCCCCCGAGTCGAGTATCCAGTCGTCAACAGAGTTATGAACTGCAAGCAATAGCGTATCCTGCACTTCTTCAGTTACAACGTTAGCATTGACATTCTCCGTCTTCTTAGGATTTTTACAGTTGTTCTTTATGTGACCAGTTTTGCCACAATTCTAACAGGTTTCTTGCTGACCAGGCTTTGACTTGCTCTTGCTTCTATGCTTTGATTTTAACCTTCCTCTGTTTGAGTTCCTGTCTTGTGATCTCCCTCTGGAATCAACATTCAGTGCTGAACTAGAACCTGAGATCTCGCCAGAATCTTTCCTGCGCCCCTCTTCAGCAAGAATCAAGTCACGAATATCATCATATTTCAGTTTGGTTTTACCTGCAGAGTTGCTAAGTGTCATCTTCATGGCTTCTCAGCTATTTGGTAATGAAGCCAATAATATCAGTGCACGTATCTCATCGTCAAAATCAATTTCAACGGACGATAATTGATTTGTAATAGTGTTGAAATCATTCAAATGTTGAACAATTGACACACATTCCGTCATCTTCAGGTTGAATAACTTTTTCATCAAGTGCACCTTGTTATTCGCCGATGGCTTTTCATACATACTTGATAAAACCACCATAAAATCTGTCGTCGTCCTCTCTTTTATGACATTGTGAGCAATGAACCTCGATAGGGTTAATCGAATAACCCCCAGAACCTGTCGATCCAACAGATTCCAATCAGCCTCTTCCATCTTCTCCGATCGTTTTCTCAGCAGTATAACGGAAGATGAAGTTTCTTCTCATAGAGGTAATCTTCTATCTGCATCCTCCAGTATCCAAAATTTGTGCCGTCGAACTTCTCGATCCCTGAAATCTTCACTTCGTCTCCTGCCATCGTTCTTCCTCAGATCCGAACTTGGCTCTGATACCAATTGTTGTGAAAAAAAGACGGCAATAAAGCGAAAAACAGATCTAGAAAAATTACACCAGAAAATGCGACACAAGATTTACGTGGTTCGGCAAATTACCTACGTCCACGGAGCTGCAGAGGATTTTATTAGCTTTAAGGATTACACCGTCGACCACGTCGACTTACAAGAAAGAATTGTCTCTCTCTCTCTCCTCACCTTCTCTCTCTCTAAACCGAGAGTCACACCAAGAAGAAGAAAGACAACTTTTAAAGAAAAACTTCTTGTGATTCCTTTATTTCAGTCTCACGACAAAGTATAATCCAATAAGAGAAAGTTATTTGGAGAGTAATACTCATCCCTGTAATCGTGAGCCCTTTTTAAAGCTTCACAGTATCCAGCTTATTTTGGTAACCCTTAATTTCGTGATTTTATGAAATCATGCTTTAATAACCCATATAAAGCCCATTAAGTCAAGCTATCAAATTCATTGTCTTTTTCTCTATAGCAACAGGAGCGGGAAATTAATCTGGTAAAACTTAATTAATTAAGTTTTCCTTAATTCTTCCTGTCAATAGAAGGCAATCCTGTCAATAGAAGACAATAGAAGACAACTGCTTTAAATAAAAAATTGGGAATCATCAAGCTATGGCAGGAAATAAAATACATAAGGAAATGAATTAAAAGCAGATAAATTAGAATCAATTTATCAAAGAATCTATCGTAATAGGAAGTGTACCGGGTCTCCACCTTCCTCAACAAAAAAAAAAAAAATGCAGTCTTTTTAGCTTTTCTTTGGTAGAGGTTGTCTCTCATTTGATTTGTTGTTTTATTTTCTTTTCATCTTTGTTTCACCTGTGGAATGACTTCTGTTGTTATCTGATCTTAATTTTTATGGCATGTGAGAACTATGGATATATATGTGAATGCTCTTTTATGAATGAAGTGCGAAAATAGTCCCCTGATTATTTTACATGAGGTCATTTAAGTATCATAATTTATAAAGTGTTAAATTAGTCTCCAGTTTTTCTTAATGGGGGCTAGAATAATCCCATTTAAGAATTATTTTAACTCATATTAAAAGTTTCAAAATTGTTTCCTGATTCTTTATAAGGGGTCATTTTAGAAGATAGGCATGTATCCACTTAAATAACAGCCATTGAATGGTGAAGCATTTCTCCATTTCCAGCATTTTTTTATTCGCTTTCATTGCATTCAAGAGCATTATTGAGGCTACACCCTGTTAATCTCTTTCCGTATTAGAACTTCCAAACTTGAAAATTTTTAGCACTGGTTGGGATGAACATTATGTAATGCTGACTGTTTGTTTTGTTAGTTCTCTCATTCTTTGCTGCTTTGGGCTTCCTAATGTATGGTGGAAGGTATGTTATATTTACTCTAATAATGGGGTATTATTCTCTAATATATCATTTTTTCTGATTCAGACTTTGTTTTTTTTAAGGTTGTTCTTAATGCTGTGGTACTTTCCTCTTGATTCCAGAGGCCGAAGAAAAAAGCTGAATGAGGTAATTGTAGTCATTACTTAGGACTTGTTTGGGATCAATTTTGTTTTTGTGCTTTTGTTTTGTTTTTTTTGTTTTGTTTTGTTTTTTTTTTTAAAGTGTATTTATTTAGTGTGTTATTTAAATGTTTTTTATTTTATCTCTAAAATCAATTTAACAAAATATTCCAAATAACTTTTACTTGATTTAAATGTTTTTAGAAACAATCATATTTTAATTAAATAACCAAATATATTTTATTTTAAATCAAAACATAAGCAAAATAAAATAAAAAACAAAAAATAAAAAATAAAAAATAGAAGTGATCCCAAATGACTTCTTAGTTTCTCCTTCAACTCTGGAGATCTTGGAAAAAATACTTAAGGAGTTTTATATATTGAGTGACTTGGTTTTGGTAGATGTCATTTATGTTAATTACCATCCAATTATTTTTATTTTTTGTCAATTTATCTTATGAAGGGACACAGATTTTGAACTTAAGCACAGCTTTGCTCAAAACCACTGTTTGATTTATGCATATTTATTCCAAAGGGCTATCTAGCTGAACAATAATGTTTGATTTGGAAATTTATCTTTCATGCAAAAGATTTCTATGGCGCATTAAAATTTATAGGATCTTAGAACCTCGTATCGATCCTTTTACCATGGTTTTTATGATCACGCTAAACTGATTCATTCAAAACATTTTCCTTGGATTAGTTTCAAGAATTCACAAATATAAAACTTTCAAACTTGCGGCGATCTCCATGCTTGCCATGATTGGTCATTCATGTAAATAAAACGTTATCTGCTTGTTAAAGTAGAGCCTAAGAATGGCAGGAGATTAATCAATTTTACGAAAAACTGTGATCAATTGGATGAATTTGATTATTAAATGGCGAATTTTCTTTGTTCATATGATCCTATGATTATTTTCGCATCACTTTTTACTTGTCTTGAGTCTTGGTTACTTATGTGAACAAAAGTTTTTTTTGGTGTTGTTTGGTCAGCAGTAGAAGTAGAAGGAGTGCATTGCATTTATTTTGCAGGGTATTAAAAAATTGAGTGTTGGAAAATCCAATGTACTTAGAATTCACTTTCTAGTTTAATTTTAATAAATTTGAAATTCGCCGGTTTTGGGCAAAATTCAAATACAATATTTTATTTAAAGCAACGTCGTTGCTTGCTGCTGCTATTCGTCACCCTTGCCCTCGTCACTGGCTGGCCACCCCATTGCCCGCTCGCTCGCTGCCGTTGCCCTCACCACTGCCGCAGCTGGCTGTCAGCCACCCACTGCTCACTGCTTGCTGCCCATAGTTGCTGCAGCCTTGTAGAGTCGCCTCCTGCCCCCACCGCTGCCGACATTATTAAGTTTATTTTACATTAAATTCATTTTTCTTCAAAACAATTAATGAAAAGTCTTACATTTATTTTATACTGAACCAAACAATCAAATACAATAGATTGCCATGATACTTCATTCATTCTTCAGTAAATCAAACATCCACTTAGTTTGTGTGTTATGTACTATGCAGTTGTCTATGGGTTTGACAGCAAATAGTTTCAAAGAAGATATCGAATCGTGAATTTACTTTGTTTATTAGGAATGTGATTCACAACATAAGCTCTCTTGCAGGTTGGCTATATTACTGGGATATGCAGTGCCTGTTTCCTGATAAGATGCATTATGGTAAATTTTCAACTTTACTCTATATTATTCCATGAAACTTTTAGCAAATTAGGAGCGGAATCACACTTTCTTTTGAGTGTAGGCAAATATTATCATTATGTTCGTAACCTTGTAGGAAATTAGGAGATAGATTTTTTTTTTCAAATTTTTAGAAAATAAACAACTTATAAACAATATATCAAAAATATCATAGTATTATATAATAAGTAAATTTTAGGGTGGGGCACCCAACGCTCTTATTTTAGAGTCTTTTAGCTACAAGTAATTTTTTGTAATATTGTAAATCCAGATTTATTAAATCATGGAGGCATTAAATCTTAAAAATTGTTTGGCTTGATAAATGTTAAATACGGTTTAATTTATAGAAAATGTTTGGCTACAAGTAACATATTTGCATATAATTTTCAGACTTAGTATTTAAATGGTGAAAAGGATATACAATGAGAAACATAAATCTCTTAAATCTTATTTCCCCTATATACAAGGATTTGGCCTGAATTGAGAAGGAAATGAGATTTAAGAAAGTAGAATTCTAAAGAACTGTCTGGCCAGATTTAACTTAAATCCGGACTAGATCTTGCAACGAGCAACCCCTCAAGGTTTCAATGCTCCTTATCAGCATAGGATTTTGCAAAACATACAAGACCAAACAACTCTATTTCTTTGAATAAATAAAAAATCTTCTCAAAGAATTTTGGGAAATTTTCAGGTTGCAATTTCGGAATGTGACAAGGATGCTGACATTGATGTTCTCGATCATCCAATCCTAAACTTCATTTACTATATGGTAAATATTATGTGCTCTTCTGTAATTTTGTAACTCAGAAATTTGGGTAGAATTGTAATAATCCCATTTCTTCCTGTTATTTTCACAGCTGGTTGAGATTCTTCCATCTGCTCTGGTGCTTTTCATCCTGCGGAAGCTACCCCGCAAACGAGTTTCACACTGCTTTCACACAATTTACTAAAAGCTGGGTCTCCCTTTTGATCTGTAAGAATTCAAAAGTGAGAATTTATCTTTACTTTGATTTCAAAAAGAAAAAGTTTGATTAGGCTGAGACTTAAAGCGATTAAGTTATGGTAAATTTAGACCCGCAGCACACAATTCTTATGTATTTAACATAGCACTGTGTGATATTAAACATCTGAGTGCTATGTGTGTAAAAATATGAATGTATAGGTGTCTGATATATAAATGCATAAGATTGTGTGAATTAACTACTACTCCACTACCAGTGGCCCCAAACAAATTCACTCGTCACAACAACCGAATGGCAGAAGAATATGAAGCTATATATCTCTTGTACTGTTTACAAAGGCATATTGACGAAAATGAAATGCTCAAGTATCTTGTTCCTTCTTCTCTGTTTGTCTGTAATGTTTCCTCAGTTTTACTATATTGAGCTTCACGGTTTGCAGAGTGTTATGTAAATGCCCCTAAATTTATTTTGAGATTAATATAATATTTAAGAAAGAAATAAAAGCCTATATTATCTCATCTCAAGATAAATCTAATGATTGTGAGATTTACTAACAATTTTTTTTTTCCTACAGCTGAAGTCTTCATCAGAAACTCTGGCGTGTGCTTGCTGTTCAGTGAGGCCGTCGTGCACCATTAGGAAGCTGACATTTTTGTCGGCAACAAATAGAGATATTGCAATCTATGGCCCAGTTATCAACGTGTTTCTGTAAATTGTGTTGATATGTCGTCATTTGCTATGTTTTGTTCTATTTTATTTATTTTTTTTAAGGTTATTGTTATTTTAAATTTGTTACGAGCGATTAGTAGCCCACTTATTAATCGGGCATTTTTATCTGTATTTTTTTAGGAAAATGTTCATGGTCATATGTCGAACTCTGTTATTGAAATCTAATCTATTTTGACTCTTATAAAAAAGAAATAATATATATATATATATATAAGAGAGAGAGAGAGAGAGAGAGAGAGAGAGAGTTAGTACAACTTAAATTAATATAAATATTGTATATTACAATATGTAAGAAAAAAATAAATTTCTTATGTTTTACTTGATATTTAAAATAGTAAATTAATAAAATTCACATAACCTTTTTTTGAATATGCAGCCACATAAAAATGATTAATGAATTATAAATTAGAATGTGAATTCATCCTTTTGTAAAGGAGGCTAAGAATCAAGATTAAATATAAGTGTTACATATGAATACTTAATGAGGTAAATGTATCTATATAAAAAGAGGTAAATTTATCTATCTATACATTTATCCATATAGAGTTTGGACTCTTTAAGGGTTTGGGGGTGCTGGTAAGGAATTCTAGAAAAGGAAGCCATTATATGATTGCAATTTAATGGATTTATTATTATAGGTCAATACATTCTAAATCTACTAGTTCTAAAAGTAATAGACCCAATCCAAGCAAAGACTCTTTGTAACAAAAGATGAATTACATCTTGCAGAGCAAATTGGTGATTTAAATCAAGGAAGAAATATGGATATATTGGTTAGATCTGCTACCTAATAGATCTGAAAAATATAGGGCTTACCCTTCTTGCAACATAAGGAGATATTATTAGAGAGATAGAAGACATAAATTAATTTAATTAATTACTTAACTGGACCAACTGTTCGAATCAATACTACCTTTAATTTGGCTAAGCTAAATTAGAATAATGGCTACATGAGTTTAGAAGTTTTGTGTTAAGTAGCATACATAGAACTAGTGTACCTCATCAAACATAAATGACATATAGTTATCTACTCTTAGTGTGAAGTCTTTTAACTATATGTCAATGAGTTTGATCATATCATAATTAATGAATTATTAAGGCTTGATGCTCATAAAGATTCACATTTATGAGAAAGTATAGAAACCTTAATATGACATCTATATTTTCACATAAACACAAAAGGAGTGTATTTACTTCAGAAAGTTTGAGCCTAGGACCAAGTAATTTTAATTTTTGAGAAAATTTTCCTAAAAAATTATTTTTATGTTGATTAATATTTTAATGAAACTTATAGAAGGGATTTTCGTAAGAGCCTACAATAATATTCTTCACATATGATATCATTAATAGTAATATTCAGATATTCATTAATCTGATCTAAACTTTGTCCATCCTTCCTATATGGACTATCCCTTTTCATATGGCCAATTTTGCCACATCTTCAGCTAGCACCACTATAAACTTTAGATGGTCTTTTCTTTTTGAGATTTTAATCGGTTTCCATCACCTCCTCTCTTTGCATTGGTCTCATTGGTTTCAAGATTCAAGGAAACAACAATTAGATTCTCCAGTTTATTCTCATTTCATCATCTCCTCATTGAGATCATCAATGACTTAATTGGGTTTTAGCTTTGTAGAAGGACATGAATTGTTGACCGTTTCTATACATGTTTGATCAAACTTTTATGATTCCAATTGGAGTTTTTTCTTAGCATTTGTTGAAGGCAATGCTCTTCTTTGGTGTAAGGCATACAATCCCCAACCCTTAGTTATCCAAAAGTTCCCAAACTTCATGAATCATGATAGTGACAAAATCCTCACAAAAATCGCCTGATTCTTTCATCATTGAACTCTTGCCACATCTTCACTGTCAGCCAGAATCTCATATTGGTAAACCTATCGTCTATTTTTTTGGAATAAAGTCTGAATTTATGCTCGAGTATAACAATTGTCCTTGTCATATTCTATCAAAATCGTACTTGTGAATTTGAAAGCAATATGCATGAGAAAATTGAACTCCACATGTAATAAATAAACCTTCAGCATAAACTAACTCAATTTGGAAATTGATTAATATCAAACTGAGTTCCATATATATGACTATAATGTTATATAGTATTATCTGCAATATCTTCAAATCACCAATAATATTTAGCATGATACATTCTTCATTATGCACCTTGATTATTTTCAATACATGCTTAGTTTAGGTAATGTCTATTGATTTGATAAGAAATGCATGTATGATTCTTGAACATATAATTTTCTATAAATGCATAAAAACAATCTCCAACTATTTGCCAACTTGAACATGTTAGGAATTGATGAGGATGACAACAACTTCTATTTTGGAATGGTTAGTTAGGATTTTGACCACTTCTCTTTTCTAATGGAGGTATTCTATTTATTTGAAATTATAATGACAGTTGTTATGTTTGAATTAACTCAGATTAAATAAGGGGTGTAACTGAGCCAAGCTGATACATGAGCCTGCTCGGGCTTTGGCTCGACAAGTGGCTCATGATCAGTTGAGTTTGATGAGCTACTAAGCCAAGCTTAAGCCAACCCTGACTTGACTTGTTAACTCTTGAGCTAACTCTTTTAAGAATATATTAATATAAAATATACTCAAAATATATTAAAATTCAATAGTTTATATTTATATTATTAAAAAGTGAAAAAATGATATTTTATATTCTATAATAAGCAATTTCTTTTTATTTATCTTCTAATTGCTCATTCAGTTTGTCATTTTATTATAATATAACTTGAATTAATATTTTTTTTCTCTTTTATAATAAACAAACACGCTCGTGAGCGGGCTCAAATTTGTTGAATTAAGCTTGAATTCAATCAAACTAGATTAATTAATCAATTTTAATCAATTAATTAATTATTCATAATCAAATTTTTTTTTAATTGTTTATTTTTTTCTGTGAACTTCAAATACTAATTGACTTCTCAGCTGTCTGGTTAGGTATCATGTATTTTAAGGGGTTATTTATATAAAATTATTTTTTTTTTGTAATTTTTTTTAGAAAACATACATTTTCAATAGTACTTTAACCCAATTCCATGATTGACGGCCTTTTTCGTTTTTCAGTTGCTTCTATATGAAACTAAAGCATGTCACCTGCCAGCCATTATAAGCACTAAGTCAATATGATAATATATTATTGGTAATAGCTGCAGTCATGTTAGATTTAAGTATCATATTAGATGGTTGAAAAGTAAATTGGCGTGGAAATAACAAATGATTTAGCTCTCACTCATAAGTTTAAGCTTTTTGGTTAACAATGGGTTTAATCACCTTTGTGTTGAGCCTAATTATGATCTAACACTTTCTAATAAGGGTATTATAATTGATGATCTAGTGACTCATGAAGGAGAGCCTTGTGATTGAGTGGGCTTCTGTTGCATGATACATAATAATATTAAGAACTTGGGGCATTTACACACAAAGCATCCAATTCCTAAGTATCTACATATCTATCATGTAAACTTTGCCTTCTTAAACCACCAAATCTTTCATATTACATAAAAAATATTACTGTTTTAGCTTTTAAAAAGTGAAAAAAATCTTTTCAGGCATATGTAAGATGTTATATAATGATTTAAAGTGTTGATGTCATAATTTTTTTGGCAAAATTTTTAATTCTCTACTTTTGCATCATCTGAGACTTGAGACCCGACTATGATTGTGTTTACAATAAACTCTTAGGGACATTGGAACGAAATTGAAATATGAAAAGTTTCAATATTTTTGAAAATTCTAGATAATTTTTTTCATATTTTGAGAGAAAAATAAGAAAAATGTTGGTAAATGGTAGATGTATGTATTGAGAATGGATCAAGTGTTTTTCAAAATTTTGAGAGAGTTTAAGACCAACAAATAGAATTTAGAACTAAACTAGATTTGGTTCCTTATAGAATTTTGGTGGAACTTTTGAATTCCTCACTGTTTTATCACTCCCTAAGCTCAATTTTTTAAATGGCTGCATGGTTTATAATCGTATTCAAGTTGGATGGTTGAAGTGGAGGAGTGTATCAGATCTATTGTGTGATAGAAAATTACAGCTTAAACTTGAAGTAAAATTTTATAAGATCGTGGTGAGACTTGCAATGCTCATTACAAAAAAAAGAAGGGTTTTTGTAGCACTTCATCCACAATACTAAAATCCCCTGCTACGTACTTTGCAGCAGATTTCAAATCATTGCAATTGCTAGCGTTGCAAAGACTTTTGACAATTTTTATGTGTTTGTTTGTATTTATAGCAGTGTTTTTTAAAAGCACCTTTAAATAAACGCTGCTAAAATCTTTTTTTTAACATTTATGATGCAAAATGTCGGTCTATAAAAGAGAAGCAAAAAATTAAGTTAATTGTGTTTGAAATGAGAATGCTTAGGTGGATGAGTGGTTTTACACTTAAGAGTCAATGCAAAATGTATATATCTATGAAAGAGTTGGTGTAGCTACATTAACAAAAGGTTTGGTCACATTAAACATCGACCATCTGATGATCTAGTTAAAAGAATAAATGTTTTAGATTCGACTTACGTTAAGAAAGTAGAGGTAGGCCTAAAAAGGCTTAGGCATGTTATTTTAAAGTGATCTTATTTTATCATAATTAACTAAATATATGACATTCATTAGGACAAAATGGAGAGAAAAGGATTGATGTGGCCGACCTTATTTAGTAGGATAAAGTCTTATTGTTGTCTTTATTGCTGTATGGTTTACGGCCATATAAAATGATAATCTGTATAGCCTCATATTCAAATTTGGATTTAAAATTGTTAAGCTCAACATTAGTACGAAATAATTTTCTTTTTCTTTTAGAACGGTCAATCTGGGTGGGTGCTAAAATTAAGTACTGATCATGCAGAACATAGATAGGCTTTAGTTTGGTCTATGTTCTGCTAAATGGTAGTTGAGCCATAAAAACTGACAAACAAACTGCCAGTATCTGAGGGCACAGCATCAGCAGCTGTGTCTTTAGTCATCACTGAAATAGAATAATAACGATTCCCATAACTTTGGGCATAACGGTTGGGAAAA